CAGCTCTTTCCTGGATGTTTGGTAGAACTCACTAGTGAAGCCATCTGGTCCTGGACTTCTTTTGGTTGGGAGTTTTTTGATGACCTGATCAATTTCTTATTTTGTTATGGGTCTGTTCAGGTTTTCTACTTCACTGTGTGTAAGTTTAGGTAGGTCATGTTTTTCTAAAAATTTATCCATCTCTTCTAAGTTTTCAAATTTCTTGGAGTACAACTTTTCATAATATTCTGTAATTATCCTTTTAATTTCCTTTGGTTCCATTGTGACATTGCCTATGTGGTTTCTAATGAGTGTTATTTGTGTCTTCTCCTTCTTTCATTTTGTTAATGTCCTCTTTCACCTTTTTGCCTTCAAGGCTGTATGATAAATTTCAAGATGCCACCTTGGTTGTTATGCTATGCCTCAGGATTTAATTTAATTTTTGGCCTGTTTTGTTTTTAAACTCTCCCTCTCCACGCCCTTGTTCTGGCCTTTTCCCTATTGAAAAAACAGTTCAGGGCTGGCTCTTGTGCTGAGAGTATCTGTGCATATGTGTGGCAGAAGAACCCACCAGTAGTGGAAGAGTGTCCTCTCGCTCAAGCACCCCCTCTAGTCACCAGAATGGAATTGTGCAAACAATGGGGGGCCAATGAACAGATACCTCCCAAAAAAGAAAATCCAAGCAAAGCAAAACCGACGAAGTGTGTTGTCCACCTTTGCTCCGAGGTTCCCACGGCGTTATTCCATGGTAGGTCTGTTCTCCCCCACCAGGTCTTGGCATTTGGTCTCGCCCAAGTTGCTGGCTATGAGCTGCTAAGCCCAGCTGATTCAAAAGTACATGATTTCTTACTTCTGCTACAAGTTCCACTAGCTATAAGCCTTCAAACTTTTAAAATATTCTTAGATATGTGGTTCAGAGTTTTGAAGCTCTGTCCTGAATCTGCTTCGCCTGGTATTCTGTGATATTGCTGACGGCAAACCTCACTGCACCTCTAACCTATCTACCATCAAGCCCCCATTTACATCTTATAGTTCATAATTGAACAAAGCAAAAATATGTGATGTACAGTATAAAACAATATATATATATATATATATTCGTTTAAATGTCCTAAGAACATATTCTGCAAGGCAGCCTCTTGCCCACAGGTACTCAACCTTACTCAGTCCATGGGCCTATGGTCCACAGCTGCTCTGTCTCTCTACGCTATCACCTCTGTGACAGGCATTGCTGCCAGCACTTTTCTAGGTAGGATCTCACTCCTTATCTTCCTTGTTGATGGTCCTGGGACTGTCTGTTTCTGAAATGGCATATTAATTACTCCCCCCCTTTAGTTACACATCTTCTACAATTACAGTTGTGAGAATCACAATTAATCCTGCTAACAATTACAATTGAATCATAAAATCCTAGCAGTATCGTCCCCCACCCCCTTTCATCAGAACCATCTGGAAATGAGGAAAACTATTCAGTGGGGACTCTACCCTAACCCCCTCTATTTGAAAGTAAGCACATTCTTGAAAACTTGTAAGTCAGCCACTTCGTGCCTTTATACCACCACCACCCATTTTTGATAATCAATGTCTATATTGCCTATCGCTATTAATCCAGTGCAAGGAGCTCTGGTAGCATAGTGGTTATGAATTGGGCTGTTTACCTGAAGGTCAGCAGTTTGAAACTACCAGCAGTTTTGTGGGAGAAAGATGAGTCATTCTGCTCCCGTCAAGATTTGCAGCCTCAGAAACCCTGTGCAGGGTCACTATGAGTCAGAACCGATTCCATGGTACTTAACAACAACAACAACAACCCAGTGCACTGAGGAAACTAGTTTGTGCTTTGTTATATAGAATCCTTCTATTCTGGTTGAAATTTTGAGCACCTGCATCCATAAACAAAGGTCCAGTTCATCAAATTGTAACAATTTTCACTTGCTCACAATATCAAGCATTTTTATCTTCATCTTGTTGAGTTCTGCTCATCCCAGCTAGGTCAAATGGGTGCTAGCCACAAGTTCAGAAGTTCATGCACACCTCCCTGCCCTTCAGACCAGCTAGCCACTTCACTCTCAGCTCCAGCCCTCAGTGTCCAGGTCAGTGCCTGTGGGCTCAGGAATTCACACATCTCCCTAAACATCAGACTGGCTAGCCCTTCTTCTTTAGCTCGTCTAAAAGTGAACAATGTCAAAGGAATGTGGCCAAACTCAGCCCATGTCTTCATTGCTGCATTTCCCTTATTTCCACTCACAAGTAGATCCAGGTGGTCACCAATAAGCAGACTAGACTTCTCATGAGTTCCCTTTGAGTTTCAGTCTTAGAAAAGGGTTTCCCCTGTTGGGCTAACTTTTCTTAATGCATATTTCTGTATCATAAAAATTAGAGCATTATTTTATAGGTTTTTGAAATTTATGTAAAATAACTTCTTAATATGTGATTCGTTGCGCAACTTTCTGTTTTGCTCTCAAAGTTGCTTTCTGATTTATTCACTATGCTAACTGTAATTCTGTGTTAGTCATTTATCATGGCTAGGCTGAATCCTGGTGGCACAGTGGTTGAAACAGTTGGTTGCAACTGAAAGGGCAGTAGTACAAACCCACCAGCCGCTCTCAGAATGGAAAACATGGTAGTTTGCTTTGTAAAGATTTACACCTTTGGAACTCTGAAGGTAGTTCTGCTCTGTTCCATAGGGTCACAATGAATGAAATCGATGTGACGACAATGGGTTTGGATGATGAAATGATTAGACCACAGCCAATGGCTAGACCCTAATGTATTTATCGATTTTCTGACAAATGGTTAGCTTTTTACAAGGATTTGCTATTAAAGAATGCTGTAATACGCACCTTTGTACATGTATCTTTGTGTGTCTGTGTAGGGATTCTCAAAGTCTGGGCCATGTACAAGCTGCATCAGTATCACCTGCAAACTTGTTAGAAATGCAAATTTTTGTGCCTCACCTCAGACCTAGTGAATTAGCTGGGATGCAACAATCTGTGTTGTCCAAGCCCACCGGGGGATGAGAGCCACTTCTATACCTAGAAGCCTAATTGCTATGCCTTAAAAAGGCATACCTTGAATTTTACTAGAAACTGCTTGACTTACAGTCGTATCAGGAGTGAAAAATTTTCCTGTCTTCCTTGCTAGCCCTAGATATCAACCAGAATTTAAATTTTCTGCCAATTGAGTGATAAGTCTGCATCTATTGTTTTCTCTCTCCCTGACCTGGGAATCACCTTTATGACATCACACGTTCTGTCTGTCCTTGGGTTCCTGCCAGATCTACTGGTTGCCATTGAGTTCATTCTGACTTATAATGACTCTACAGGACGGAGGATAAGCACTGGAATGAGAAACACACAGTTGGTGGTTTGAACCCACCAGCTGCTTTGCAAGAGAAAGATGGGACTTTCTGATCTTTCTCCTTTTAAGTCTTTCTGCAAAAGATTTAAAGCCTCAGAAACCCTGTACATGGTAACTATGAGTGGAAACGGACTCTACAGCACTTAACAACAATAGGACAAGGTGGAATTGCCCCATAGGGCTTCCAAGGTCAGAAATCTTTATAGAAGCAGACACATCTTTCTCCCTGGAAGTAGCCAGTGGGTTTGAACTACCAACTTTCTGGTTAGGATCCAAGCACTTTAGTCACTGCACTACCAGGACTCCTTCCTGCCAGGTCTACAGCTCTAAAAACACAAACGCCTTTGTTTTTCCTTTGCAACTTCTCTTGCCTGGGTCACCAAAGGTATCACTTACCACTCTCTCCTGGTCCCTTTCTCTCTGAGAGGTGAGGGTAGGGGTGAGATCCCTAGGACATGAGCCCTTCAGGGTCATGCAAGCTGATGTCCACAAGGACATGATACTGGTCTCCACTTCTTGCAGGTACCCCTGTCTCTGTGAGAGGTTCTCTTGCATCTCCCCTCACTTGATTTGGGGGATTGGGAACAGAGGGGAAAGTCACAGAAATTGCATCGCAACTTCTAACTCCCATGAGCCTCTCTCTTTCTGTGGTCAGTTTAATTGGATGTCCTGACGGGTATCAGGATAGCAGGGATTTCTTATGCACTTCAGAGAGGCTCTCTTTGGATTCTGGATTATCACCTCTGTTTCCCCAATGTTGGGTCCTGGTTGCCAATTCTGGGACAACAAATAACTCCCTTCTTTCGACTTATTGCATTTGATGATGATGGGAGCTCTTGGGAGTCCTTGAGCAATGGAATTAATAACAAAGCAATTAACCAAATGGTTGCCAGTTGAATTTTATCCAGAGGCCCCTTGGGAGGAAGGCCTGGTAATCATCCATAAAACCAGACACTGAAAACCTTGTGAATCACAGTTCTACTCTGACACACATGGGGTCACCATGATTCAGAGGTGACTCAACAGAAACTAGTGGGAGTATTTGATGATAGTGATGAGGCAGATGGAGTGTTATTTAGAAACAGAGCCTAAGGGTGAAGGTTTCACCTACCCCTCCATGCATGTGAACCCCTCACACACTAAAAAATATACTCCTTTAGAAAAAATTAAATTTGTCTGTGAGTGAAAGAAAATACCAAATAAAATAGTTTAAACAAAAGAGACTTATTTCTCTCTCATGTCTACACAGGTACCCCAGGGCTGGTTCAGAAGTCTACCTACCTCAGGGATCCAGGCTCTTTTTAATTTTATTTCTTCACCATCCTCAGCACATGGTTTCCACCTCATGATCCAATATAGCTGCTTGTGCTCCAGCCATTGTGTTCACATTCTGTCCAACAGGAAGGATGAGGGAATGACTAAGGGCCTGCCCCTATCCTTAAAGGCAACTCTCTAGAAGTCCCACACCCTGCTTCATTCCAAATCCACGGCTTCATCCCATCATACCAACATACCTAGTTGCAAGGGAAGCTGGGAAATGTAGTCTTTTGTTTGGGTGACTATGTGCCTTGCTGATATCCCAGTGAGACAGTCTCAGCTGCTCACACTTATGGTTTGATCATCTCTCTTCCTCTCTCCCCTATCCACCCTGGTCTGGCTGGCAGTGGGCACTGGCCTGGGGGGCAACTGCACAGGCTGTGTCATATGCTCCGAGGAGAATGGCTGCTCCACCTGCCAGCAGAGGCTCTTCCTGTTCATCCACCGGGATGGTATCCGGCAGTACGGCAAGTGTGTGCATGACTGCCCCGCTGGCTACTTCGGCGTCCGCGGCCAAGAAGTCAACAGGTGCAAAAGTAGGTGGCCCCACCTTGTCCTGTGCTAGCACTGGGTTCTGGGCCCACATTCCACCAGCTCACCCCTACACAGCCATAAGATAAGGGAGTTTGAGCCCAGACTCCGAGTTGCTCGGTTCCAGGCTGGCCCTGCAGCCCTGAGCAAGTCAGTGCCCTCTCTGATTTGCAGAACCTTCACTTCTACCCTAGAATTTTACTGTGTGCCCTTGGGCAAGTTATTCACCCTCTCTGATCCTAGCTTAAGTGGGAAAAAGGAATCCTAACTCTTTCTCTGACTTGAGTCTAATCATTGCCATCTCTGAGCTTAACTGAAATGGAGCAGGGAACCCTCACTTGGAGCTCAGATTGACTGTCCAACTTTGGGCAAGTAAGTCACTTGCTCTGTCTGAGCCTCAGCTCAAATGAGAAAGGGAATACTGACCACTGAATTAAAATATCCATGTGACCTTGAATATGTCACCTGCCCCCACTGAGTCTCAGTTCAAATGACAGAGTTCTTATATGCAGCCTAATTTGACTGTGGGCAGCACTGTACTTCAAAGAACTGTGCTGACCCCAATGCTACAGATCCTGGGGCTTCCCCTGAAGTGTCTTCCCCTGAAGTCTCCAGAAGCTCCAGAGCACCCCCTCCCCGGAAGCCACCCTCACCCCTGTTCTTGGCTGTGTTCCAGAATGTGGGGCCACATGCGAGAGCTGCTTCAGCCAGGACTTCTGCATCCGATGCAAGAGGCGATTTTACCTGTACAAGGGGAAGTGTCTGCCCACCTGCCCATCGGGCACTGTGGCCCATCAGAGCACACGGGAGTGCCAGGGTGAGTGGTGGCCTCCTTGCCCTGCCCGGTCCGCCCCCCATCCAGCCCCTCTTTGGAGCAGAACACCTGGGAGATGTCACATGGTGAGGAAGGCTCCACAGTACCAGGTCAGGTCCCTGTGTGGAGTAAGTCTTCAATGCCCTTGTTACTGTTGTTAAGTGCCATGGAGTCGATTCCAACCCAGAGCGACCCTGTATAGGGTTTCTGAGGAGCAGCTAGTGAGCTTGAACCACTGACGTTGCAGTTCAAACGACTTTGCAGTCTGATGCATTAGCCCAAGCGCCACACCAGAACTCCCTAGAGCCCTCTTACCTGTCATTTCTATTGCCAACACTGGCATCATTGGTATTACTGAGGGAGGCAGCAGGATCCAGCAGAATAGCTCTGATTTTGGAATAAGACAAACCAAGGCCTCTGTTGTGCTACTTAAACTCTGTCCCTCAACTTGTCCACTTATTAAACTATATTAGTGTGTACCTTGTGGGGGATTGCTCTGAGAATTAAATTACTTTAATACAATGTCAAGTGCTTAGCATAGTAGCTGTCACATACTAACCACTCAATAACCACTAGCTATTATGATTATTATTGCTGTGACCTTCTCTGGCCAAGCCCTTTCAGCTTCCTCTGTGGTCTGTTCCATGCTCGAAGCCATCCCTCAGCATTCTTGCCTAAACTATGGCTTCTCCATCCACAATGTCCTCTGGCTTCCATTCCTAATGGCCCCTGACTCCATGTCCCAGCCATGTCCCTCCACAAGCAGCAGGCCGTGCTCTCTGGGCACGTCCTCTCCCCCCTCGACACCCCACCTTGGTGCCTTTTTTGTCTCTTCTATCGATAACCAGCTCCATGACTCATCGGGTGTGCTTCCCTCCCCATCTCCTGACATCCCATGCAACCTGGTCATCATTCACTCAGACAATATTGACCGAGAACTTGTTATCAGCCATGTACTCTCCTAGGTACTGGAGACGTAGCTTTGCCCTCATGGATGTGACATTTTAATAGGGAGACAGGAGACACATGAGAATAAGTGTATAATGTGCCTGGGGTCTAAAAGAACTTTGGTGGGGGAGCAGACTAAAGCTCTCAAACTCATCCCATGACTGTTCACAGCTTTCTCTCTGCCCTCTGCCCATCTCCCTGCCTCAAAATAGCAACCTGATCATGTGTCTCTTATGCTCCTGGCCTTCTAGTAGCCCCTACGACCCTCAGGTAGAGCCTCCCGGGCCTGTGCTGGCCTCTCCGACCCCACCATCCAGCTCCACCATTGTTTGAATCCATGCTCCAACTTCCTTCCCCAGCTCTAGGCCTCTGTCAAGAACAGAGTCATCAAAGGGCTGTGCTGACATTATTTCACGTGGAGCACTTCTCCCTCCTGCCCTTGATCAGTCTCCAGCCTACCCCACTCCCCAATCCCACACCGCCAGCTTTGAGACACAGCTCTAGAGTCTTACCACCAGGAAACCCTCTCAGTTTTCCAGGCTGGCCTCTCTCCTCCTCTAGGTTCCCCAGGACTGAGCTCTTGCCTGTCTCCAGGTGTTAAACTGCAGAAGGCAGGCATAGGTCTGTCTTGCCCCCGCTTCTCAGCAGTCAGCACTGTACCTGGCAAATATCGGGTGCTCCAACTATACTTGTCAAATGCATGCATCTAGACTGGCAACTTTTTCTGGGCTCCATTGGATCTTGAACTTGCTGAGTTCTGCAAGTCCCTTGTTTTCTCCAGGCCTCAGTGTCTAAATCTGCAAATAGGGGTATTAATAGCTAACCGTAGTCTCTACCTACCTCTCAAGACTCTTAAAAGAATCAAATGTAACACACTTATGCATGCGTGTGCGCGCGCACACACACACACACACACACACACGAGAGGACTTCAGAAAGTTCTTGGGAAAATTCCAATATCTTTTCATTTAATTTTTCCATGAACTTTTTGAAGCTCCCTTGTGTGTTTTAAAGCTTTGTTATGTTTTTGACCTTATTTTTCTTCACAACAACAATGTGTAGCTCCCACTTTCTACTGCTGATCAGAGGCATGAATATGATGAAGTTCAAACCCCTTGTCCTGACTTGGAGAGCCGCTTCAGCAGACTCCCCTGTCCCAGACTCCAACCACCCTGCCTCTCAGACATGGCCTTCTGGGTCCCCAGGGCTTTCCCCACTGCCTAGATGTGTTTCCTTCCTCCAGTGAACTCCTCTCTCCCTTTATCTCAAATGTCACCTCCTTCAGAAAGCCTTCTCCTCAAAGTCAGACAACCAGTCACTCTGGCTTCTGACCCCCCATAGAAGTATCCTGTGCCCACTTTTTAGCACACCCACCCCAGGCTGTTAGAAATAGCTAGTGACTTGTCTCCCCTCGGCCTTCAGCAACACAGAGACTGTGAATGAGTATCTTATAGGTAGAGATGTGTCTACAGGGAATTGAACTTTTTTAACTCTCCGCTTGAATTAGGACACTTCCTGCCAGCTAATCCCATCTGTCTGTCTGTCTCCCCCTCTGCCCCACAGAGGACTGTGAGCCAAGCCCTTGGGGCAGCTGGAGCCCCTGCAGGCACAACGGGAAGACCTGTGGCTCGAACTGGGGCCTGGAGACCCGGGTCCGGGTCCGAGAGGCCGGCAGAGCTGGGCAGGAGGAGACAGCAGCCTGTCAGGTGCTGGCTGAGTCACGGAAGTGCCCCATTCAGAGGCACTGTCTAGGAGGTGAGCACAGCACCAGGACGGTCACACAGGGCTGTCTGGACAGCACCCTTGGGTGGATCTTTGGGCCTTGAGACAGTATTCCACAAATAGGACCTGAAAGCTGTCTACAAGCCTACCTTTAACCATCCCTCCAATGGGGATATGCACTGCTCTCTCCAATGGTCTTTCAAACGTGGGTCTTCGTTGCTGGAGTCGCCCCCAGGTATGCTGGGAGGACAGGGCTTTTCCTTTATTTTAGGAGTCCTTGCCCCTCCTGGTAATAACAAGGATTTTAAAATGCCCTCGTCACTCTTCTGAAATGAAATGAATGGGTACTGTAACACACTTACACACATCCTTTATTTAAATCCATATGTTGTTGTTGTTGTTAAGTGTTGTCAAGTTGGTTCTGACTCATAATGACCCGGTACAGGGTTTCTGAGGAGCGACTGGTGAGCTTGAACTGCTGGATTCTGTCTCTCCTGGATGAAACAGGAGGTCAGGGATTTTTGCTTGACCTGCTCATCATTATATCCCCAAGAACCATGCCTGGCACTAAATTGGTGCTCAATAAACACTTGTACTCTCAAGAAGTCATTTACCTTGTCTGCACCTTAGTTAGGTTCTAGGCTGCTACTCTCAAGGTTAGCAGCTCACACTCACCAACCGATCTATCCTTAGGAGAAAGGTGAAGCTGTCTGCTCTCGTAAAGATGAATGTTCTCAGAAATCCTCTATTGGGTCGCTATGAGTCGGAATGGAGCTGAAAGCAGAGGGTTTTGTGCCTTTGCAATTTCTTCATCTATAAAATGGTGACAAGAACACTGTTGTTCAATGGGCTTTGTGGGGTGAGGTGAGGATAAATCCAGGTGAAGGAGTTAGAACATTTGGCCTACAATGATTTTGTAAGCAGGAATTATTAAATTATTGTTTAATAAATTATTATTTCATTTATTGTTAGTTATTTATTATATCGAAGTCCTGGTGTGGTGCTGTAGGTTAATGCACTGGACTGCAGAGTCTGTTGGAACTGCAAGGTTGGCAGTTCAAACACACCAGCCACTCCTCAGGAACCCTGTACAGAGTTGCTATGGATCAGAACCAACTCCATGGCACTTAACAACATTTATTAGATTATTATTTAATAAGCAGGAACTTTAGATTAAATCATTCCATTGTCTTCTTTAATGTGAAGGCTGGCCCTTGGTAACCTTCCTGCACTTCTCAGTTTCCTCCTTTGTAAAATGAGGCAAATCGTTCTACCTGTCCTTAAGGGTTGTTGTGATGCCAAGTAAATATCCTACACATGGAGCTGTCATAACTCACTCTCAGATGGAGTCTTCCTGTCCTGCCACGGTGCTAGTAGGCTGCCCCCACCTCCACCCTCTGAGGGATGACCAGTTACTTGCCCATTCTCTAGATGAGGGGACTGACATCCAGAGATATTAAGTGAGTATCCGGGAGCCACAGGATCAGCGGCAGCTGGACCTCCTCCTCCTAGCCCTGGCTGTCTGCTGGCTTCTGCCACCTCCAAGAAACCGTCTGCTCTCCCCTCCTGGTAAGAGGCAGAGAGAGAGAGCGCGAGTGAGATAGACAGCCTCGAGCAGGGATATGGAGACCAGGGCTGCCCCTCATGAGTGTCCACATTGGGCACCACACATTTACGGTACATGCACCTTTAGCTGTCCTAGTTAGTGTGATTAATGCAACATAATTCCAGTAGGTGGCAGTGAAGAGTCTTGAGGAAAGACCACAAAGTTTCCAAAGGCCAGCCAGGGGATTGGGCCTTTGGTTTGGGGCATGTTTGTGGAGCCAGGAATGAGGTGGGGAGTGGGACAGGCGGCCTCATTGGAAAATTGCCCTGGTTTCACAGTACTCCTGTCTGTTAACGTTCTGGGAAGCCTTAGTGTGACGAGTGCGCACTGATTTGGGGCTTGGGGCCTTCTAAACAGAGTGTGGAGTCCTGGTGTGGTGCTGTAGGATGAGCACTGGATTGCAAGGTCAGTTTGAATTATAATGTCGGCAGCTCAAACTCACCAGCCATTCCTCGGAAACCCTATACAGGCTTGCTATAAGTGGGAACTGACAAGACAGCACTTAACAACAACAACAACAAATGGAGTATAATGTTACAGGATAACACTTGACCACAAGATCTGTTTGAACCGCAAAGTTGGTGGTTCAAACTTACCAGTTGCTCCTCAGAATCCCTATACAGGGATGTTATGAGTCAGAACCGACTCAACAGCACTTAACAACATTGGGATTCTTGGTGTGGTGTTGTAGGATCAGCACTAGACTGCAAACCACAATGTTGGCAGTTCAAACACACTAGCTGCTCCTTGGAAACCATACACAGGGTCACTATGAGTTGGAACCAACTCAACAGCAATCGCAACATTGGAGTCCTAAGGTAGCGCTGGAGAATAATGCACTGGAACTGCAAGGGTGGTTTGAACCATAAGGTCAGTGTTTCAAACCCACCAGTTGCTCTTCTGAAATCCTAGACAGGGTCACTATGAGTTGGAATGGACTTGACGGCACTTAACACAATAACAATATTAAGGCCTGTGCTTACTCTACAGAGCCACACCAGAATAAGCACTGGACTGCTAACTAAAATGTCAGTGGCTCAAACCCACCAGCCACTCCTCAGAAACCTTATGCAGGGTCGCTGGAAACTGACTCGACGGCACTTAACAATAATTAAGGCCTGGAGGAACCCTGGTGGTGCAGTGGGTTGTGTTGGGCTGCTAAATTCAAGGTCGATGGTTCAAACCTACCAACTGCTCTCTAGGAGAAAGATGAGGCTGTTGGCTCCCAGAAAGATTTACAGTCTCAGTAATCCTATGGAGCAGTTTTCCTCTGTCCTATGTGTTTAGGATGAGTTGGAACCCACTTAATGACAGTGGCTTTTGTTTGGGTTTATTGAAATCTGAGGAATTCTTGTGCTGCAGTCTTTGGCGCTGCTCACTGAAAGGTCAGTGGTCCGAGCCCACCAGCCGCTCCTAGAGAGAAAGGGATGTCAGTCTGCTCTGCTTCTGTACAGCTTTATGAGGTTGGAAACCCTACAGGGCAGTTCAACAGAATCACAAAGAGTTGAAATGACTCCACGGCAATGAGTGAGTACTGAGAGCTGAGTGTTCCGGGTCTTGTGGCCAAAGAGGTCTGTGGATTTAGGTCTGTCTTTGGCCTTGTCTCAGAGGCAGCAGAGCAGGGTACCCCTGTAGAACTGGCACAAACACCCTGTCACAGTGTCTGAGACCCGGCTCTGTACTACAGCTGGCCAGCCCCTGCCCTCAATGAGCACATTCAAAGAATTATTCCCACTGGATCTCCTCCAGGTGGGAGGACCCTAGATGGATGGGTCCTGAGTGCTAGGACTCTGTCCACTTCTTCTGACTACTGGTCACTCAACTCATCCCCTTTGCCCAGGGAGGGCACCGGATAAAGAAAGTCACACCCTCACTGGGCCTCAGTCATCACATCTGAAAAATGAAACCATCAGAGCTTGTGTGAGAAAATCACCGCAGTTCCCGCAGGAGGGAAGAGGGGCCAGATGAGGTTGAGATTCAAAGTTAGGTCTGGATTTTACATCCCAGTCCACCTCTCTTATGGCTGTCATGAAAGGTTGCTGAGTTTAATAGACACAAAACACTTGGAGCTGTGGCTGTCACACACTGAGCACTCTTTACACTGCTATTATTACAGTTGTTGTTGTCGAAGGACAGAGCCTGCGGCAGAGAGGTGAGTGAGGAAGTTGGTGCAGAGGCCTAGGTAAAAGGTGTGGAGTCTTAAACTGCACAGTGTGTGCACATGGAAGGGTCATGGGGACTCCCCCACCAAATCACGCTGAGCCATGCTTGGATGTCCCATGGCATCTCCAGGTCTGACTAGTCCAAATGTCCAGCAGGCTGGCTGTGAACATCGCTGAACCCTGAGCCCACCAGGGCCCTCCCCTAGCCTCAAAATAACCAGAGAAAACATTCAACTTTATGCAGTGGTCAAATTCTAAGGAGTACCTTTAAGGTTATTCTGAGCCTCGTTGTTGGAGAGTGAGTGGGCACCTCATGTTTGCAGGTTTGGGAGGCCTCATGGGACCTAAGCTGCCTTGCAGCCCCAGAAACAACACTCTGTGCTTGTGTTGCAGAGAGAAACCCTAGCCAGAAGAAGGGCCGGAAAGACCAGCGCCCGCGCAAGGACAGGAAACTGGACCGCAAGCTGGACATGAGGCCCCGCCGGCCGCAGGCCTGAAAAGCCCAGCCATGCCTGGACTGCCGCCTCCCCAGGGTCTCCACTTAGCCCTGCTTCTCCACTTTTGTGCATTACTTTTAGTTTTTATCCTTTCCTCTCTCTCTTCTCTTGCTCCAGTCTGTTTTTGTCAATCTTTCTTCTTTCTCCTTAATTTCTTGAGCTCTTCCAATTTTATTTTCTAACCCTTTGTTTCTTCCCTCTTGCCTCCCACCATACTTCCTCTTCTTTTTTCCTTTTCTCTGTCTGACCTTCTTTGCTTTTCCTTTTTCTTTCTGTTCTTCATTGTGTGTCTCTCACACACATCCCCACCCCACATCTGTCTCTTTTGCTCTCTCTCTCTCTCTCTCTCTCACACACACACACACTTTGAGAGACCATCTACCAACTATGGCCTGTACACTCCCCAACAGCTCTCTTTCTTTCTTAAAGAAATGAAACGTCTTTTTATTCTATATCTTTCCACAACCCTCTCCTGACCCCACCTTTGCCCAGACCACTGGTTGACCCCTGAAGGCCCAGTTTCTGCTCCAGAGGAGACCCCAAGGCCCAGGACTGGGAACACCTCAACTTCTGGCTGATTCCTGGATCCACTTGTACAGCCCTCAGCTATCATCTCCCCAGAGGATTTTCCAGAAGAGGCCTCAGGATTTCCCTGCCTGCTCCCCACCCCTCCAGCTGACATGAAGGAGATGTGCCGGGGCCTCTGGCTGGACAGCCAGGCTTGTGCCCACCAACTGGTCCTCCTGGAAGTTAAGCTGCCTGTTGGCCATCATCAGTGCATCTCTTCTCACTGTTCTAATGCCCCATTCTGCCCAAGCTGCTGGGAACCCAGGTACTGGGTCAGCTGGTGCTGTTGCCCTTGGGAGAGTCACTAGTACCACCCGGAAAGGCCATCAAAGCAGAAAGGAACATTGAGAGTATCCAGCTTACCCTATCACCACCCAGGACAACTTTCCATTGTGCCCATGGGAAAACTAAGGACTGAGAAGGAAGGGACTTGTCCAAGGGTACCCAGAAGACCCATGTTCTGTGCTCTGCTTAGCACACCATCAACCAAGAGGATGTTTGGGGGTCCTTTGGAGAGGAATGAAGGAGACTGTTGGATCAGGAGCAAGGGAAGATCCCTTGACTCCCCTCCTCCCCCCCAACACACACACACCATACAGGGAGAACAGTAGGGGGAGTCTCCAGATAAGATGAGTCAATGAGGAAGTTTGTCTGTACTGTCTGTCGTTCCACCACTGGAACACAGCCTTCCTCCCTGGTGCTCCTGAACACCAGGACGGTGCTCTCTCAACTTGTGATACCATTATTGTTGTTGTTGTGTTGTTGTCAGGTGCCATCGAGTCGGAACCGACTCATAGCGACCCCATGCACAGCAGAACGAAACAATGTTCCATCCTGGGCCAACCTCACTACCGCTGCCACACTTGAGTCCATCAATGATGCCACCTGGCCGATCCATCTCGTTAGGGGTCTTCCTCTTTTTCTCTGACCCTCCACCTTACCCAGCATGACATCCTTCTCCAGCGACTGTTTCCTCAGGACACCATTATTGGCTGGCCTGAAATTGTAGGGTCTCTGGAAAGCAGCCAGAAGCAGGAATGGGTGGAAGGGGTAGGAATCTGAGACTTGAGGGGCCTAAGGGTGCTCTGGAGAAAGTGGGGTGGGGAAGCAAGGGGTTTGCATTCCCAATATCCCATCCCCAAGAGAAGGCCAACCCTGACTGCCCTGCACATGGCAGTTGAGATTCGCCTGACAGTGCTTCCCCACAGGCCCTGGGAGTGCGATGCTGACTCTCTGATGCTCAGACACATGCTCACTTCCCACCTCTGGCTTCCTGGAGCAGTGGCGCTCCTCCTTGCCTGGTCAGGCCGACAGCTTCTTTTTTGTAAAAGTTTGTGCTTCTGAAATGTTCTGCTGTTGTTTCAAGACCCCAACTTTTTTTTTTAATAAAGGAAAAATAAAAAAAGAAACTAACAAATGTTCCTTGAGCATCCAGCGGGTGTTACAAAACCATGATGTTGATGAGTTCAGAGTAGCCGAATCTAAAACATATGGGGTGGTTTTCACTGGAATGCTCAGGGCTGAGAGGTCAGGATGCGTCTGGGATGGGGTAGGGCGTCAGCTTTGGGGGAACCAAAAAAGAAGGGACTTTCAGCCCAGCCATACCCCACTCCAGAAAGGGGCTCCTCAGAAGCGGAAGAGGGTCCTACGATGCCCCTACAGTCTCACAGGCCCATTGATCCAGTCTGTGCTATGACATGTCTGAGGACCCAGGACTCCCCAGAAGATGGGAAAATCCCATGGAGCTGGGATTGGCATGAGAGTGGCATCAAATAGGGAGGCACAGGTTCAAGTCCCAGTCCTGTCACCAAAGTCTGCGAGGTCTTGACTAAGTCATTCCCAGTTCTGGGCTTTAGCTTCCCTACTTGATGAGTGAAGAGGAGACATGGCTGGATGAAATCAGTCGCCCAGATGTGGGCAGCCTAACAGCATCCCCTGGAAAGCTTTGTAAAATTCAAAATCCAGGGCCCCACCCCAGACCAATTGATTGTGAGAGTTTAGGAGCTGACTGTAGGAGTAAACTTATTCATTCCAGCACAAGCTTCAGGGAGGAGGTTCTCAGATGACTTCCAGTCCCAGAGTGAACATTTGTTATTTGTTGTTAAGTGCTGTCTAATTGGTTCTGACTCATAGTGACCCTGTATAGGGTTTCTGAGGAGTGGCTGGTGAGCTCGAACCACCAACCTTGCAGTTCAAAACAACCTTGCAGTCCAGTGCATTAACCTGCAGGGGGCTGTAATTCCATTCTGACCTCCAAGCTCAATGGTCTGATTCTATAGTATTAGTTTTCTGCTAAGATTCAAATTCTAGGATACTGAAGGTTCCAAATTGTACAATTTTAAGAAGCCAACTGATGGCAGTAGAAGGTTCTAGGCCTGCAATTCCCTGGTGACTTTCTTCCCTCCCTGGCTCCTGGGGGCCTGATCTACCAGAATATTTTTTAACATTAAACATTTTAACATAATTGGAGTCCTGGTGTGATGCTGTAGGATAAGCACTGGACTGCTAACCAAAAGGTTGGCAGTTCAAACCCACCAGTCACTTCATGGGAAAACATGAGGCTTTCTGCACTGGCTTTCTGCTCCTGTAAAGATTTACAGCTTTGGAAAGTCTAGGAGTTGCTATGAGTCCAAATCCACTCAAGGGGAGTATGCTAATTCAGAAATAAGTTTCTTCAGGCCCAAGCCCCACCTATAAACTTTGGGTCTCAAATGTTCTTCCCCTGCTTCTAATCCTTTCAAATCCTGCCTCTCCCACATTCTCTGGGGCACTAAGTCACCTGGTTGGGAAGGAGGCCCCCACAGTCAGATGGTCGGCATCTGACTGACTCTCACAGATAAAGCTCTGAGTTTACAGAGAAGCTCAGAATTGGCCTGGGGGACACCTCAATCAGGGGCTGTCAAGGCAGGAGCCCAGAGGCAGCCTGGCCATCTGGATGCTCTCCCATTTGGAGAGACCACCAGTGTAGCCAGGGCACAACTCCTTTCCCTATCTCAAGGCCCCTTTTCCAAGTGGGTGTGGTGCTGTGGGCTAATGCGTCAGATGGCAAAGTCATTTGAACTGCAAGGCAGTGGTGCAAGCTCACCAGTCACTCCTTGGAAACCCTATACAGGGTCGCTATGGGTTGGAATCAACTTGACAGCACTTAACAACAACAACAACAACAACAACAACAACACAGAGGGCCAAGTGCTCCCTCACCCTCACCCATGCCTGTCATTCCTACCTGCTGTCACTAGAGACCGCCACTCCACCAGAAGCCAGGAAGCTTTCCTGAATTCAATTGAGGGAGATTGGAAGAGGATGGGAGAAGCTGCCAGCAGTTGCCATGGTGACTTCTTTGGCTGAGAGGTATTCACTGCGGCACAGAGAGTGTAGAACTCAGAGGGTTTGAAGGTCCCTCAGGGACGGGCCCAGCCCTGGGTTCCCAGCTCCTTGACCTGGTGACTGTGGTAGTCCTGGGAAGGGGGATGCGGGTAGTGAGGACCAGTAGTTAAGGCATCCTATGTGCTCATTCTGACTCAACACTCTTTCAACAACAACAATAGTAATACTGTCTTACATTAATTGCATACTTACTGTGTGCCAGACACTGATAAGCGCTTTATGTGCAGTGTGCTGTTTCCTTTGCTTCTCTCCTTCCAACATTGCCTCACTGGAGATTTTTCATAGTATCACTACCACTTTTCTCCAACACTCCTCTCCTCTGTCACTTTGTTATAATGTGGGGGCTTACGTGCGGCTCTGATGCTGGAAGTTATGCTAACAGCATTGCAAATACCAGCAGGGTCATCTATGGTGGACTTCCAGAGTAAGACAGACTAGGAAGAAGGGCCTGGTGACTGACATTAAAATATTGGCCAGTGAAAGCCTTATGAATAGCAGTGAAACATTGTCTGATGCAGTGATGGAAGATGAGCCCATCAGGTTGCAAGTCACTTAAAATAAACTGGGAAAGAGTTGCCTCCTTCATTAGAGTCAACTTTAGTGATGTGGCTGGAATAAAGTTTAGGGAGTGTCACGTGTTGATGTGGCATGATTCAAGATAGAAGAAACTGCTGAAAACATCCATTAATAATTAGAACATGGAATGAACAAAGTAGGAATCTCAGAAAATTGGACTATAAAAATGAAGTGGAATACACAGAGGTCCATATCTTAGGCATTCATAAGTTGAAATAGACTGGTATTGGCCATTTTCATTGGGCAATCATATGGACTTCTATGATGACAATAATAAATGGTAAAGGAATGATGTTCCCTGGGGTTTTTATGATGTTCGACTTTCAGTTTTAGTCTTGATTTTTGGTCCTCTTTGCATCTTGTGGGAGCACTTTCTCTTTGTGCCTCACCTAACAAAAGGCAGGCCATACAACCAAGCTACAATTATACCCTTTAAAACCCCATCTATTGGACAAGAGCCAATACCAGCTGCTATACACCAGAGCAGCATCTACAACCAACACATGCTACA